CTTCAAGTCGAGAATCTGCCGAGCCGCTGCCTTTAAAGAAAGTTGTAGTACCTTGCCTCCTTTGTATACATACGATCCTTCGACCGATTTGAATTCCAAATAACGCGTAACACCAGTATGAATGAGAAGTTTGACCAAGGAGCCATTAGCCATCAAAAACTTTGGAATAAGATCCACATTCCAGTCACGGCCACGTCCCATCTCTGGAGGGGGCTTGGCATTTGGACCTGGAATGGTTCTTAATTGCATGAAGGTCTGAACATGAACAAAAAACGAATATTCAATAATGCCAATTGAAAATGCTAGCAAAAAAGTTTGGTCATAAACAGGCAAAATATTGAATCGAACATTATGATATATGCCTTGCGAAACATTTCGCACCAGCCAAAATCGATTTGAATTATTTCTAAACAGATAACTGGCTGGCTTACCCATAAACTTCTCGTAAAGTTGCTCCAACGGAGTCAACGATGCCGACTCTCCTCCATAGTAGTTGTTTCTGTCAATATGAAGAACCTTCTTGCCCGACACGGACAACATCCCCGAAATGATGCATTCCTCAAACACCGCTATATAGTGAAATCATTATTTTCAGAGAACTACAACTGGCTTGAGTGGAAGGGCAAAACCAACCTTAAGACCTGTTCCGAGAACGATTGCGTCGTATTCCTCATCCATGACTGGTTCACAAAGGAGGAGAGCTGTACAAAAAAGGACTATAAGCGCCATTGTCGCCTTATGACACTGTAGTGAGATACGACGCTGACACAACAGCAAACAACGGATACGATATCGCGTAAAAATTTATTCGAAATGAAAAATTCTAATTCTTTATAGCTAAACATCCGTAATTCACAGCGGTAGACCGACACCAGGACCAGTGATTCGTGAAAGGGTTGTACATGAAACCATTTATGGCCCTAAACGAGAAAATGTTAAAGTGATGGCATGGATAATGCATTTGCTATTTACCTGACATTGCATCCATATCGCTCCAAAAGCT